ACACACACACACGTACACACACACAAATACAGTCCTAGTGTAGAAATGTCTCATACACAAATGCATAGACACACACACACACACACACACACACACACACACACGTAAAGTAATAGCAAAAAGAAAAAAGGAAAAAAAGAAAAGCCACCAAAAGCAGGGCAATGTTCGACACAAGAGCCAGTTAATGGCTTTTCCTCATGTCAGGAGCTATACCCTAGGCAGCACAGAGGCTGCTATGAGGAGACTTACAAGATGTGGGGCCCCAACAGGGCCCCCAGGTGCTGCCTTTGCCCCCATTATGCCTTGTTTCTGTCAGACCTCACACTGCCCTCTGTCAGCCTGTTCCCGCCCTCTGAATCCTTTGGCCAGCATTCCTTTCATTTAATACTTTTTTAAAGCATGTACTGAATGCTGGGCACCACCGTGAGCCCTTCACCACGTCTGACTCATCTAAGCACCCCAAGGTCCAGCGGGAAGCTTCCCCATTCCACGGGGGGCTTGGGGATGGGGACTTCTCATAAAGGGGCACAGTTACCTAAGTGAACAACCTCCTGGACAGTGCAGAGCCTCCAGGCAGTTAACACCCAGGTTGTAGCAAAGCTTGGGGATCTTTTTCTTCTTTTTGGTTTTCGAGGCAGGTTTCTCTGTAGTTTGGAGCCTGTCCTGGAACTAGCTCTTGTAGACCAGGCTGGCCTCAAACTCACAGAGATCCACCTGCCTCTGCTTCCTGAGTGCTGGGATTAAAGGTGGCCACCACCACCCAGGGGAAGCTTGGTTATCTTGACTGCACAGACAGTCCTTTGATATAGCCCCAGGTGACACCTGAGGCAGGTGAGTTCCTTGAAACCAGGTGGCATCCTGAGAACAAGGTTGTATCTAGTACCAGGTTGACAGAAACATTCCAGGAATCAGGTGACAATTCAGATGTTAGGAGCATTCAGGTACCAGCTAACACCCCAAGAAAGAGGTGATCTCTAGGTACCCAGGTGACATCCTAGGTACCAGGAGACATCCCAGATATCAGATAACATCCCCGGGAACCAGGTAACTTTCCTAGAATTCAGTAACATCTCTAGAACCAGGTGACATTTCAAATATCATATACCATCCCTGAAAATCAGGTATCCTTAGAAACAGGTGTCATCCAACATTCCGGGAAACAGTTGAATCCTGAGTGACAAGCTCGTGGCCCTAGGCCTTACCTGCCGATGACTTCTATGTTGGAAATGGCGTAGAAGTACTTGTAGAGGTTCTCCCGTTGCACATAGGTGCCGCCCAGCGCGGGGCGAAGCAGTCGCATGCGCAGGTCGGTGAAGGTGAAGAACTCCTTGAGGCCCTTGGCACTCTCCAGCCTCGTGTACAGGTTGTCCATGTTGCGCAGGTCAGGGCCGGCAAAGATGGCGAAGCGGTCCCTTACTTCGAAGCGCACATGCTTCTCCTTTTTGGAGCCTGCCCAGCGTGAGTACTCCTCCGTGCAGAGCACACGGTGGGCGCTAGAGGGTGACATGTCTCGGGCCCGGCGGGCGGACATGCCAAAGGCCTCCATGCAGTCCTCTGCATAGAACTGGTAAGGCTGCCAGGTGCGGCCATTGTCCAGGGACTTCTCGAGGACCATGACCGTGGGCCGGCCATACTCGAAAGTCATCACCACGTCATCTGTCAGCTCCACGCTCTTGTTCCAGGAGAGGGTGATGTTGGCCTCCAGGGGACTGGGGTAGCGACTCCAGGTGACACTTTGCCAGTAGGTGGCCAGTCCCTCATCTTCCCTGTCAAACATAAGCCGGGGTGGGTGGGCCAGGTCTGGGTTGGAGGCATCACACTCATTACTGCACAGGTAGGGATTTTCCTGCAGAGGAAGGGAGACAGGAAGTAGGGGTGTTGGTCACTGGGAAGGGTGTGCTTGCTTGGTGCCTAGCCATCACTAAGTTCCGAATGCAGACAGTGGGAAGTGCTTGTCCCACACAGATAGCAAGTGCCTGGTAATAAGATAATGGGGTGAGGGTGGTCAGAAAGTTGGGGTTCTTGGTAGTCGGTACTTTCTACCCTGTTCTATAAGGCTGTAACTGCTCTAGATGGTAGGCCAATTAATTAACAAACAACAAACCCTACTGCTGCCAGCCACACAGTGCCCCAGTCCCACACAGCCACTTTGATGAATATTTCAGGTGTCTGTGCAGAGACAAAGTAGCTTGGATCTGAGTTAAAAACCTCTCACTCTCTAATGAGCCATGAGGCCCCTGGGGGGTGGACACATTGCCACCATCCCCGGCCACCCCAGCCAGCAACACCGCAGTCATCCACTGGCCACAGGCTTTGATCCTCTATAGTACAGGGCCGGTGCCAGGCTGCCTAGTGCTGCTCAGTGGGCACAGCTAGCCCAGGGGTTCACTAAGATGGGACCCACAAAGCCCTGACCGACCAAAATAGCTCTGTCCTTAGCATCCTGTGGTGTCAGCGTCCACCCTACCTGCCTGGCCCTGCTGATGGGTGGAACCAGAAACCTTGGAGTTCGAGGAATTTCCCACCAGTCTGGCACCTTCCTGGGTAGAGTAGGAAACTGAGGCCCAGGAAAGGCAAGACAACCCCAGGCCCTTTCAGAGGGATTAGAAGAACTCAGGAGAAACCAAACTATCAGTCCTCCCTCTCCCTCTTTCCCATCCTCCGCCTCTTCCTCTTCCCCTCCCTTCCATTTTCCTCCTTACCCACCCGCTCCTTCCCTCCTCTTATCCTGCACTGCCTCAGCAATACCCCCTTTCACATGGGGCAAGTTTACACGTGTAACGGCAAAGGAGGAGCTTTTCGTTACTTCCATGGGGTCTCACTCTGTTGGCCTGAATGGGTCTGAGTGTCTGCCATAGGCTCAATGACAAGCAGAGGTCAAGCCCGGTGACCAGGAAAAGGAGGCTGGCTGACCATGAGGTCACTCCTACACTCTGAGCCCAGGGCAGAGTGAGCCTGCTTGTGCACTGGGAAGTAGAATGGCAGGCACACACTTTTATACATGAACAGGGGGTTGGAGGACAGCGTGACTCGGGTTGGGTGCTTCCAGCTCCCTTTCTCCTGCTGCCCTATGCCTTATCTGGGGCTCATTTGTGTCCCCTCAAATTTACATGTTAATGTCTAACCCTCAACAACCTCAAAAGGCAGCTAGCTGTATTTTGAGACAGTCTTTAAGATGAAGGAGTTGGCCAGGCGGTGATGGCGCACACCTTTAATCCCAGCATTCGGGAGGCAGATGCAGGTGGATTTCTGAGTTCAAGGCCAGCCTGGTCTACAGAGCAAGTTCCAGAGAAACCCTGTCTCAGAAAAAAAGGGAAAAAAGGTGAAAGACTTGAAGGAACCCCTCTGGTAGTCCTTCTTCTGAGAAAGGCTCCCTTGTAAGTAGAGAAAAGGGGCTCACACAGAAACACCAGGGGCACACACACCTGGAGGAAAGGCATGGGACACAGACAGAGGTGGCTACAGACACCATAAGGAGTGAGCTACAGGAACCTACACCTCCAGCACCTTGATCTTCAAACTGAGAGACAGTGAATGTCTTTGCTGAAGATGTCAGCTCCTGGCAAGCTCATCCTAGTGAGCAAAGCAGAAGGGTGGCCATTCAGAAGGGGTGTTACTGACCCTGGGTTTTCCAGGGTGTTCTTAGGGACTCTCTGGACCTCTTCCCTCAGAAGGGGTGTTGCTGACCCTGGGTTTTCCAGGGTTTTCTCAGGGACTCTCTGGACCTCTTCCCTCAGAAGGGGTGTTGCTGACCCTGGGTTTTCCAGGGTTTTCTCTGGACCTCTTCTGTAAGCCTTTTCTCCCCGCTTCTCTGAAGACCATGTCCTTTGCCAGGCCACCTGGTCCACGAGTAATTTTATTAATTTTATTAATGTCTGCCCATCTCATATTGACTATCGATATCCCTCCCACACTCCTCCCCAGTTGCTGTGAGTCGCCATACCTCACCTTTTCCCTGGATCCTTTTCCAGCCCCCTGCTTTCCCTACCCCCAGCCTGCTGCAAGTCCTTGGGTGGGGTGGGGACAGAGTGTTCTTCAAAGCCATCAGTTTCTGGCCTCCGATCATTGAGAGATGGATACAGGGGCTGCCAGGGGCTGGGGACCAGAGCTTGATTAAGGGTACATGCTGCCTAACCTGCCGGGCCTGCCAGCCCCCTACCCCAGCCCCTGGGAAGCAGATGGTGAGACACTAATGAATCAGCCTGTGTATTTACCAGGCTCATGCGGACTGCAGAGCGGGCTTTGCCAGCCTCAAGCACAGCAAATAATCCCAAACCGTGGCCAGCACAGTCCTCTCAGCTCCTTCCCTCTGCCTCTCACCTCACAGCCACCACAAGATCTCAGCACCCTGTATCACAGAGAAGGCGGCGTGAACTGTGGCCACAACGAGCCAACCCCTTTCTGAACACGCCTTGGCTCAGGCCCTGGCTCACTTTCCTTGCCACACTAGGGAGAGCTCCAGAGGAGTTCCAGCCAGCCCCACCCCCACCCAAGTGGGACAGCTGAGGACAGCGGGAGGCAGTAGTGACTTTGCCAGCCTCCTGGGTCTCCAGCTTCCATGACTACGGAACAGATTAAGTGTTAGTGAAAACAGCCAAATGAAGTGGTCTGACAAGGACAGCAAATGTTAGGGGGTTTCGGGCACCCTTTTACCTTGTAGGAAGAAACCCAGGCTCAGTGCAGATGTTATTAAAACCAACACTTGCTTCCATGGCCACTTAAGGATTAGCACCCCAAAACAAACAAGTGCACACACCCCTGATTTTAAAAGCCTTAGCGGGGCGGGGGGGGGAGCCTTAGGGACTTAGGATATGGTTCAGTAAAGTGCTTGCTGCAGGGATTTAAGTTTGAGCCTCAAAAGTCATGTTCAGAAGACAGGTGAGGTGGTGTACTTATTGCTCTAACTGTGGAGGCAGAGGCAGAAATGACCACAGGGCACACTGGCCAGCTAGCCTGCAGTAATTGGCAAGTTCCAGGCCAATGAGACACCTTGTCTCAGAACCAAGGCATATGGTGCCTAAAGAATGCCACCTAAGGTTGACCTCTGGCCTCTACTGATATGTGCACACACATTTACAAAAAGCCTTGCAGTTTCCCCCTCCCCCAATGCAGTCACCCATCACATACATTTCCCATGCAGTTTCTAGGGGCCCCCTGGAGCGCTAAGTCTGGGTTGGAACCCCCTGTTTAAGAGTTTGGGGCCATGAAGGAAACTGGCTCTAAGTCCTGAGCTCCCCCCTCTGGAGGCCTTGTGACCTTGAGAAAGCCATCTGACTTTTCCTCATCCTGTGTTCTGTGCGATAGAGTATATGAGAAACCCAGGTGACATCACCGTACGGTGGCGGCAGTTTTCCATAGCCGACTTCTGCACGTCAGCTACCTTACAAGGGAAGGAGATGGAGGTGGATGCTGGAATATTCTGGGAACCTGGGGACTCTGTGACACAGACCATCCTGAACGTAGACTGCTTCAGTGACAGTTAGTCCAGGGGCACGTGATGGCGGGACCAGGGACAGATGTTGTTATGGTCACTAAGCACTTACCAGTCAATGTCACTTCTCCTAAATACGATGGAACTGACCTTGGGGGATACTGGGGAACCGGAGCGCAGCCTCTCTGCAGCTTTTCTGTTTCCACACACCCCAAGCAAGTCACCTGGAAGGTAGGCAGTGCAGCGACCCTAGACCAGCGGCGCAGGGCACCAGGGTGGGGTAGGGAGGAATGACAACCCTCTTGCAAAGTCTCTAAGCAGGAGACAGACTGGCAAAACCGTTTTTGTGCCAGGCTCGGGCACTTCTGTCTCTTTAATGATTTTAGTTTCCTGTTATTTTCAGGACAAGAGTCAAAGTCCAGGTGGCAAACATGCTGGGCAAGCTCCTGGTGAAAAGTAGAAACGGGAAGTGAGCTGCTGTCAAGCAGAGCAATCCTCATCTGGGAAAGTCCAGCCATGTGAGTCTCCAAACCCCTAACCCAGAAGTCCTCACAGGCCTCTTGGGTCTTAAGCAGCCTGTGTTCAGGTGGTCAGTGTCATGGAGTCCCCAGGTTCCTGGCATCTCCCAGCATCCACCTCCCTCTTTCTTTCTCTCTCTCTCTCTCTCTCTCTCTCTCTCTCTCTCTCTCTTTCTCTCTCTCTCTCTCTCCAGCTGACATGATGCAGGAATGGGCTGTGTAAAAACTGTTACTACCATGTGGTGACATCACCTGGGTTTCATACAGAACACAGGACAAGAAAGCAGAGGCTCAGAAAAGTCAAGTGGCTTCCTCAAGGTCACCAGAACAGTTTCCGCTAGAGAAATGGATGGCTTCATAGCACCAAGGCATGAAACCTAAACCTATGTGGGGACAAACTCTCAGCCACTGCCCACGACATGGGCCGACTTGGCGCTTCACAAAGGGCCTTGATGGGTAAGTCCGTGGTTGGCTGAGGAGAAGCAGATGATCTCTCAGTCGCATGCAAGCTCCAAGTCTGGGTGAGCCTGGGTGAGTTTTCAACTTTTTTAGACCTACTGGGGTTCAAAACATGCTACCTCAAACTATGTATTTTTTTTAAGATTTATTTATTTATTTATTTATTCAGTGTTCTGCCTTCATATATGCTTGCAGACCAGAAGAGGGCAACAGATCTCATTACTGATGGTTGTGAGTCACCATGTGGTTGCTGAGAATTGAACTCAGGACCTTTGGAAGAGCAGGCAGTGCTCTTAACCACTGAGCCATCTCTCCAGCCCTCAAACTATGCATTATTAAAGATTTTATTTTTATTTATGTTTGTATGTGTGCTGGTGTGTGTGTGTGTGTGTGTGTGTGTGTGTGTGTGTACATGCCTGCATGCTCACATATGTGTTC